CTGAGTAATATAATTTATTGGGTCAATTTGCCAAATATTCATATTGGGTACTTTAATTAACACTATAGCTATGCTATTTGGTCAATTAAGAGAATAACGGTTTGACCGAAACTCTCCCTCTTTTGCCCTGGCCACGTGGATTCCAGCTACACAGGTTTGTCTGTCTGATGTGGACAAAAAGATATCCGAGCCTCGGTTTTTTTTCTTTTCCTTCCCACCTACAAGTGTTAATGTCACTAACATAACTATGACATACTAATTAATTTAAATTCACTTTAATTTCCCTTTAAGAAAACTTATGGGCAATGGCAATAAACAAAAGGGATTACGTTACATATCTCAGATATGGGTACGTGAGTGATAGGGTTTTTCTTAGGTAGCAGTAAATTTGTTTGATGAAAAACGGTTTTTTATATAGAATAACAGTCCCGTTTTATACAAACAAAAACACACTCCAGACGATCATATACATACGAGTCTACGAATTGTTAAAAAAAAAACATAGTCAATAAGATAGACAAGTCGTGAAATAACATAGACAATAAAAAGATAGCATAACACTAACAGGTTCTCGACAGTTCGAACCCAATGAACATAACTAATAATTAAGTGTAGTTATTCTTTGATACACCAGATGCATCAGCAAACGAACCACCCTCTTATGTTCACATCATCCTCCAAGGCAACTGCATCGCCATCGCCTCTGACAGCCTTCCGCTTATCATACTCCACCTAATAAGGTTAACTCGACCACGCCAACTATTTCACTTAAACGGAACCCATCAAATAGTAATGCAATCATATGCTCTACTTCTTCATCATCATTTAAAACTGATAAAATCTCTCTTAGTTAAAAGTTAAAACTGATTCATTTAAAACATACCTAATTTCAATATGCAAAAACAAAAAATTTCAATTTGTCATATGTATAATAATACTACAACTATACTGCCCAATTACAATACCAAATAAAATAGTATAGTCAGCGTCATTTTTAACGTAAACATAGACAACAAGAACAAAAGCAAGAGTTTACTTTCCGAGGTTGATACGGTTATTTAATAGACAACAACAAGAACAAAAGCCGTATCAACAAATTCCACACCGAA